ATGAAGGTGGGGAAACCGTGGAATGGGTTGCCCAGAGAGGTAGTGGAGGCTCCATCCCTGGAAACATTCAAGGTCAGGTTGGATGGGGCTCTGAGCAACCTGATCTAGTTAGCGGTGTCCCTGCTCACTGCAGGGGGGTTGGACTGGATGACCTCCAGGGGTCCTTTCCAACCCAAAACATTCTATGATTCTATGATTTTGGTGCCTAACATGATAAGAGTTACAAGCAGAGGACAAGACCATGAGACACCCCCACCCCCCACAAGAAAACACCAAGCCAACTACCCCAAACCAACACTCAAAGCCAAGCCACCAATAATGCTGGTGGTCACAGAGCTGGTGATCATCATGCCAGCTTCCTTTCTGGGCTAAATCCCATAGGCTACTGATAGGTATGTAGATAAAAACTTTTCCCTAAAAAAGTTATTAAAAAATCCTGTGCTCTTGTATTTTGAGGCATTTTAATACTATTCCAGGTTCATGACCAAAGTCATCAGACACAACCACCCAGCACTTCCCAAGGGAACACTACACTAAAACACTTGTGAACACAGATGCTTCAAGGATGAAATGCCACTAAAATGCCTGCCAGCAAAATCAGCCTGAACATACACAGCCCATTCGGGATTTCACTGTGCAGGCCTGTTGACTTGGCAGATAGATGCTTCAAATGAAACCCAGGTCTCCCTGTGCTGCTCTGTGTGCAAACACAGAGATTGCCTCTTGTGCGGAAAGACTAGAGAAGCAATTAAGGATAGTTTGAGGAAGAACAAAAATACTCAGGATCTGGCTCGATTACCCAGAGTACTTTCGAATTCCCTAGTAATACACCAGAATGATAGTTTGTGCCTTCTGGGGTTGAAAAGAAAAGGAAAAAAAAAAAAAAAAAAAGACAGCTGCCTCCAAAGTCAATCACAGTGAGGGACAAGCATGCTTGTACATACACATTAGTGAGGGACTGAGTCTACATTTGCCTCTCAGCTGCTAAAGAGCTCACCACCACCGTGCTGCTATGGGGTCGTCGAGTCCTGAACCCAAACCAGCTCATCAGAGCCTGCTGCTCTCCTGCAGCCCATAATGGAGACAAGGCATCAAGGTTACAAGCAGGAAGGATGCTCAGACAATTAGCAAAATACAGTTGCCATTTCTGTTGCTGTTTTTCACACAAAATTGTTTAAGAAGGGCATCAGTCAGTACCAAGCGTGGATCAAAACCATCATCCAATCCCACTCTTCCAGCAGCACAGAAACTCTCAAAAATGCAGGTGGCTGAGATATGGCTTGGAGAAGGAGTGCACCCCCAGTAACTGACTAAAAAGACCTACTTCTTGGAACTGCAGGGATTATTTTTCATATAATATCCACCTATTCGCTAGCTAAATCTGACCCTGCTTAGTTTATGACTGCACCCAGAGATGGCTTTTCTCCAGACAGCTTCTGTGGCCTACTTACTTCTGTTAATAGTGTTGATGCTTTGCCTCCACTTCAAAGGTTCATTCTCATGTGCAGGATTTTTTTTGTTTTTTATTTGCTTTGGTTGCTAAGGGGGAAGCTTTAGCATGGTGGGCATGGATTTAGTCACATGTGAGCTATAGGGAACGTTATCCTTAGAGATTAATTTGGAAATCAAGTGACAATCAGCTGGGTACATGTTTATTTTCTATTTCTTGAAAGCTTTAAAAGTACTACTGGATTTTTGCATCCTCTGAAGGAGATCTATTCTTCTTCTTCTATATTACTCAACCCCAGAGACAACAAAGAGAATATCATGCTAGTCTCCACTGCCAGAGATAAAATTAGTAATTCCACTGCAAATCAGAAAACAAATGGGATTATTATGAAGAACAGCTCTACACTCATCAAAAGGTTGTTTCACAACCGCCTTTCAGATGTACTGAAGGCAGCTGCCTCACTGAAGTTAATTCAATAAGCAGAGGGAACGTAATTCATTTGGTACGTACTGTTTGCTAATCAAAGAGTATTTATTGGCATCTAAACAGTGCGTGACAGAATGCTAGGCCTGAAAACATATTCTTAGTCCTCAAAGTTCTTCATCAAATCCAAGAAACAGCGTGCACGCATGCAAGCAATTCTCCTCATTCAAGGAACGAAGATGAAAGCTGTGTTACAAAGTTTTCTAACACTGAGCTACGGTTCTAGGAAGAGCTTATGAGAAATGGCTTTTCCCTCTTCTATTTGTGTAGGATAGAAAGCTTGATGACTTTATAATTTCCCCTTCTTTTAAATTACTGTCCTACAGAGCATGAAGTATGATGACAGCAGCAAAGCAGGTGAGCAAGCATTATCAGTAAAAAAGCAGTCCTGGTATGTCTTCTACTGAATTCAGTCTAATAAGCATGAAACTGTTGGTTTTGTTTTGTTTTTTTTTTAATGAAGGTTACCAGGGGCCTCCCACCTCTTTACAGATCTGTGCTGTAGGGGACAGGATGAGGAATAACATCACTTCTCCTTCTGAAATGCATTGCCTTAGAGGAGTGCTCTGCTGCAGTTTGAACATGTGGACCTCCACCACCACAAGCAGACATGATCAAGAGCTATCAAACCAACCATCCTGTGCTGGCTACAGAGGAATATTTCACTGTGCTCTTGCAGAACATGAGCTGCAAAGCAGCAGAAAGAAGCGTGGGCTGCTGCACAGTGTCTGCTTGCAGTTCTCCTGGTCTGATGGATGCTGCAACTGGGAGAAACCATGTTCTCCCTCTCAGGCGGGAATTGCTCTTCAAATCATAAGTAATCTCCTGAGCAACAAAAAACTTAAGAGATCCAAACCTGGTATGTTTTACTGGATCCAAAACTTGCCCTATTTTCAGAATTAAGTCAGTACGTAAATTAAAATGGCTGCTGTACAGATGGGGGAAAAAAGAGATGAGGAGTAGTTCTGAGCATAATTGATGTTTACTTTCAGAGCAGTCAACTCAATATACAAACTCAGTTTCTGTGTAGGTTAACACAAGTGCCAAGCCTGTGTCCTCCTGCAGCGTATTTTTGTAACAAGTAGTAGGATTTCAAAATGAGATGCTACACTTGGAAGACTAAACACCAGCCTTGGAGAGAATTTTAAAGATCCATTTCTTTTGCAATGGTTAAAAGATTTATGCAAAGAAGGAAAAAAAGTATTCACGCAGCAGACATGATTACACACTTGCGGCTCATGTGAAAATCTCAGTTGCAATTTGGAAAAACAACATTTCCAGGTATTCCAGCCCAACTATTTACTGGCATTTCAAGTTAGTTATAATCTCTAAATTTTCTTTAGGGAAAGGCGTACTAAGAGTTCAAAGGCTCAAATCATTCAGAGCTCAGCTGAACATATCCAGAATCCATTTGAACTTTTTATTTTTCCAAACATGTTCAAAGAAGGACATTATGAGTGAGAGAAGAAAAGGTTTTTTAATGGCTATTTTATTGATGCAGCAAGCTTGAAGAAGAACATGATAGTTTCCTGATTGTGTTTCTTCATGTTCTAAAGAACACTCAGAAAGATGTTTACCAGGGAAAACAAATCCCTGAAGAACAAGGTGAGTGTTTAACAGTAAAATCCATCAACAAAGTAGTATTTCAGTACAGAGAAGTGCTCTTCAGACTTATCAGAAAGGGAGATCCCCAGTCCAATGGAGCCTATAAAACCATATGTGAAGGACAGACAAACAGCTGCAACCGCAGTCATGCAAGCATTTCTGAATCATACTCCACTGCTCATAAAATACATGCCAGTGTTTTACCATTTCAAGTGAAGCTTTCCACTCCTTTTTAAAGTTAACAGTCGCTTAGGAAAGCTGCCATAAAGACGGCTCAACCTTTATCAAAAACGAGGCATGTTTTCTTTGCAGCGTGTAGTGTCACAGGCACTGCGTCATTCATCTCATGGAAGAAGACAGTGTTCCCAACAGACCTCCCTGGCACAGGCACATCCATGCAGAGAGCAGAACACTAGCAGGCCATTGATCCCCATTATAAATTTTTTACACTCTGCAAACCTTCTTCTTTTTTTAAGGGAAAAAAATAGCTCTGTGTCTTAGCATTAAATTTCAGGTTTCCTACCAAGTTGTCAAGAACATAGTCACACATATATGGCTTTAAGCTGAAAATTGGCTGTAATTTATCAAAGTCAGAATGGTATAAATAATGCATGTCTTGCACAGACAGCTATTTTTGTAATGTAACAACTAATGGCCTGTCAACACAGTATTCCTCGTACACAACCTCTACAATAGTCTGCAGTCTCTTCCTATGATAACTAAAGGCCTTAAATGATCTAGATCATTCACATCCAGTAAGGAAATCTGAGGCAAGATGTTCAGTGCTCATGGTAAGAAACCACATTTGAAAAACAAAACAAATGGAAAAACCTGCATTCATTAAAAAAAAAAGCTAAGCCAATCCCGTAAGATCTTATTAGGCTTTAGTGCCAGAATTTCTTTCAATATACAAAAGCTTCTCCTTCAGTGTATTGCTTTTTAAATATTTTAGGATTATGCCCAAGTTCTGACTAACCCACAGCAACATGGAAGAAATACATCTGCTGGAGTTTCTTTAAAAGGAATTAGAAAAGCAGCATTACCAACACACGCGTTCAGCACAGTCAGCACATGTTACCCACCAGAAACTTACCTTTCTGTGATCGTTTCTCTGAGACCGCTAGCAACGCCTTTCACCACCGTGCTAGCCTTTGGCGTCAGCACTACTTGAGATATAAAAAAGGAGCCCTTCTTTCTTCTTTCAGTGATTGATGCCTGGAGGAACTGAATCAGTTTTTCCGGATCTGTTGTGTTTGCCCAAGGAGCTGGCATCATCTGGCCTGGCCAAAGAAATGGTACCTCGAGAGCCACTGGGCTGTGGTAGAACACCAGCACTTGGTGTTCCTTTTCCCACAGGTACTGGAGGCTGACCTCGTGGGCAAATATAGCAGGACACATTTTGTTTCCATATGTGTCTTTGAGCATTTGGACAAGCTTTTCATGATGGTATTTCTGCATGCCGTAGAAGTGATTGAAGTCCAAGAAGACCACTTCTTTTGGGTGGTCAGCGAGAAATGCATTGATCTCTTCCAGACCCTCCTTGACTTTGGCACTGAATAAACCATGAGCAAAGTAGAGTTCATTGTCTGGGTCTCTGGGCTTGGTGGAAATTCTAAGATCAAAATACCTTATACCTGCCCCCAGCTGGCTGGTGAAGTTCATGGTCTGTGTAGCCAACCACTTCCTCATCAGCTTTTTAGCCACAGTCCCAAAAACAGACACAAAATTCTGGACCGTCTCTGGCTGTTCAGGCCCAACCGGAGAGGCTTCATCGATGTAGAAGCTAAATGAATCATGAGACCCTAAAAACACAACAGAGGAAAACAATGAATATTGTATTCATATATTAAAAGTCATTAGTGATTCTTTCTTAATAATTTTCTGACCTGTACCAACACTCAGCAAGGGACTCCTCCCCTGCCCTTTTTCTCAATACACTGCAATGTCTGGCAGCATTCACCCCACCAGCACCCCCCAGGAATATGCAGGAAAGGTAGCGTCTGTTTCACTGCTTGTCCGGGCACTCCTGCACTCTCCTCCAGCTCACTCGTATGCCTCGAGTCAGCGGGCTCTGAATGTCAGAGCAATCCTGGCATAATGCCAGCAAAGCTAGTCACATAATGAATACGCAGAGCCAACGAGGAGAGCCTGGCCCTACACGCTGAATTGTGCACCACCTAGTTCACAGAACCAAAGAACAAACCAACAACACCCCCCCCACACATTTATAGCCAGCGAAAATAAGAGCTGAAAAATGCCAAGGACGTGTAACCTTTCTGACCTTTTCTTTACTTCAAGTCTCACCTGGTCATCAACAAGGTTACTGAATGCTGTTTTCCCTCTTAAATTTACCTGTAAAATTCTTTGCTTTCCTTTGCTACATAAGTACAGACAGAGCCAAGGACAGCATTCCACTTATAAAATACAGAAACTCCCATTGCATGCTCTTGACAAGAGTGAGACACAGTACTTAACATGCCTATGTATAGAAGTTACTATTTTCCACAACTTAAAAAAGCTGAATACAAATAGGTAAGACACTTTGCTATGCAAAATTATCTGTGTCATAAGTTACATCCATTTTAAAAAAAAAAAAAAACAACTACAAAACAAAAACCCAACAACATATTTTGCTCAGCATTTAGACTTTCACATGAAAGTAGCTGATAAAGCTAAGGACACCCGCAAACACGTGATCATTCTTCTGTAAGGGACGGTGTCTTCCTTTATGGGGAGATGAGCTGACCCTAGGAGATGCCCATCACCCCTGTCTACCACTAACCTTCTGAATACCTGGTGGTGAAATCTGGCAGTTTATACAGAAACGCTGTCCGGCTGCAGGCAAAGCTGGAGTCCCACTGTCCTAGCCGGAGGGGGTGTTTCTGGTCAGACACCACAGCAAGCAGGTCTGCTCCTCAGCCACTTGCAAAACTCCTTCAACTCCTCAACTGTATGGGTTTCAACAAGGCCAAGTGCCAGGTCCTGCATTTTAGTCACAACAACCCCATGCAATGCGACAGGCTTGGGGAAGAATGGCTGGAAAGCTGCATGGTGGATAAGGACCTGGTGGTGTTGGTTGACAGCCGGCTGAATATGAGCCAGCAGTGTGCCCAGGTGGCCAAGAAGGCCAATGGCATCCTGGCTTGTATCAGGAATAGTGTAGCCAGCAGGAGCAGGGAAGTGATCGTCCCCCTGTGCTCGGCACTGGTGAGGCCACACCGCGAATACCATGTTCAGTTTTGGGCCCCTCACTACAAGAAGGACATTGAGGGGCTGGAGCGTGTCCAGAGAAGGGCAACGAAGCTGGTGAGGGGTCTGGAGCCCAAGGCTGACGAGGAGTGGCTGAGGGAACGGGGGTTGTTTAGCCTGGAGAAGAGGAGGTTGACGGGAGACCTTATCCCTCTCTACAACTGCCTGAAAGGAGGCTGTAGCGAGGTGGGGGTCGGTCTCTTGTCTCTGGTAATGGGCGATAGGATGAGAGGAAATGGCCTCAAGTTGTGCCAGACCAGGTTTAGATCGGACATTAGGAAAAATTTCTTTACGGAAGGGGTTGTTAAGCATTAGAACAGGCTGCCCAGGGAAGTGGTTGAGTCCCCATCCCTGGAGGTATTTAAAAGATGGGTAGACAAGGTGCTTAGGGACATGGTTTAGTGGTGGGGTGGCAGGGTTAGGTTAACGGTTGGACTTAATGATCTTAAAGGTCTTTTCCAACCTAAACGATTCTATGATTCTAAGGTCAGCAGGACCTGACTTTCTAAAACAGACTATAGCACTAGGCCCTCAGAGATCCAAATCCTAGCATCGAAATTTCACAGCACAAGTCTTGCCTGCCACAGATGCTTTTGTAGGTGCCTTTCAAAATTACTTTCCGAAGCACACTTGCTGTGACAAATAAGTAACACATTAGCGAAATCCTGCTAATCAGTCATTTCTGATGGTGACACTTTTTTAACTCAACTGGAACAAACCCTATAAACTGAAATGACAGATACAACATTTTCTTTCATAGCAATAATGGAGTCACGACAAATCATCTTAAACTCTGGCTTGTATTTTGCTTTGTTTAATCTGAGAAATGTCTTAAGATTTTGTACACCCCTGCTTCTCATGGCTGTCTCTTTGAACTTCATTTTGCTTTAAATATTAGATAAATTTTCCATTTTGATGAAGCTTTCTACTGCTAAGTGTTGAAACGATAGCATATTCCTTGCAGAACCTGATTAGATCATGGAGTATCTGGTTACACACTGATATCCCAGGGGACCAGATCTGCGTACAGAATTTTAATGGTAAAACAAATGATTAGAGCAGTGACTTGTGTTTCAACAGTATTACAGGCAAAATCAATGAGATACATTAAATGTTCTGCTCAATGTAACCTGCACTAATCTAGAAATCAAAGTAAATCCAGTCTTGTTCAAAACAAGGTATAGCTACTGATATTAGCAAGGTTAGATGGATTTTGCAAACCCACACTTTGTCCATTGAAGTCCCTTTTATTTCAGTAGGATTTCATGTCAGCATATGTATAAACATGATCAACTGATTGCAGCTGTAGGTTCAAGACGGTATTAAGATTCATTACAACATTTGTCCTTTATTGTCTGATCTACAGCCACCAGCAACCTGAAGTTGCAGAAGAGGTAGCTAAACTTGACCACCATGACAAATATGCAACAGCACCAAACACTACTTAAAGTACTTAAGTCAAGAGAGGCAGCACAGTTCTCACAGCAGAAAACTAAGGTGAACAACTTGTCAGCAAGTAACTTTTAGCTATTGGTAATGCAAAACACAGAGAGAACATGTAGGAGGTGGGGGAAACACCAGTTAGAAGCTAATGAACATTACAAGCAGGATAGTTTAGAAAAATATTTTTTTTTAAATTGAGGTCTTCATGCACATATTTGAGCCCAGAAATGGGGATTCCTATGTATAAGGTACAGAGAAAAGTGCACAGTGCACTGAAAATCTCCATATTTTGTAACCCAAACAAGGTGGCCCTATTGAATACTACAAAAAGAAAATAAGGCTTGACTTAACTTGGTCGACACTAAACGGAGCAGATGTCAACTATTCAAGAGTATGTAAAGATTCCTCCTGACTGAAAGATACAGTAAATGTTTTGTGTGTCCACACGTATAAGTAATCTGAACAGGTTGTTTAAGTATTTATTTTCATCATGCAGTCATCTACATTGCCTTTTGCCTTCATCCTGCCCTGCTGTCCTAACCAGCTCACTCTTATAAACTCGGAGAAATTCAAAATCCTTACACTTGGCAGAGCAAATTAGAGCCTATCTTTCCCACTGTCATTCCCCAAATCACTATGTTCCTGGTAATGAGAGAATCTTGTACAAACATACACTTGTTTTTAGCAACCAGGTTTCCTTCCAGTTTTGCTTTGGTGCATGGGGACACTGCCATCCTACTTTGCCACCGGGAAGCGGACTTGCAGGTTCTCTGTATCATTACGTCTCAGTTCCCACAAAGATAGGATGCAGGCTGCATTCAGAAATACTGATGCAATGATGCCTGAAATCTTTGGAAGATAGCAGTGCTTGCACATCAGCTATCTTTATCATAGCAGGGCAGGGGACACACCAACCCGATGTATGGGACAGCAACCACAGACACTTCACAGTCTGAGGCATGGGGAAGCAAAAGAGAGGGGAAATGACTCGTCCCATGTCATGCAGGGAAGAGGAATAAGCCGATACTCCTCTTGTGTGCAAACATATTTTCTCACCAGTTTACTAAGTGATTAATTAAAATATTGCACACTGTTTTCCCACCATTTCAACATCACCACATATCATTGATCCAAGGAGTCAAGGATGAAGGCTCATGGATTGGGATCACGGGGGCGGTGAACAAGGGGTAAACATGGTATGCATATGCTACAGGCTGCCCAGTCAAGAAGAGAAAGTGGACAAAGCCTTCTTTAAACAACTAGAAGAAGCCTCACAATTTGAGAGATTTGCTGGAAGAGTAGAACAGCGGGGCACAGGCAATCTGGAGAGCATCAAAGAATTATTTTTTCTGCAGGCACTCCTTAAGTAGACAAAGCACACTGCTGGACATGGTATGAATTAGGAAAAAATGGCTAGAGACATGAAGCCTGAGCCAGAGTGACTATGAGGTGATGTAAGAATTTAAAGTACTGAGAAAAGTGAGGGAGGCAATAACTGACTAAAGATCCTGGATTTCAGAGCAGCAGTCTTAGCTTGTTCAGGAAATTGGTAAGTGGTAGCCTGTGGGAGAATTACCCTAAATGCCAAGGGACTCAGGAGAAATGGTTGCAACTGAAAGACAACCTCTCTAAAGCATATGAACAACCCACCCCAGTGTGCAAGGACACAAGGAGGTAAGGCAGGAGGCAAGTTTGGCTGAATGGATAAATTCTGAGTGAGCTCTGACTTAAAAAAGCCATATACAGAAGGTGCAAGCAGGGACAGGGCCCCTGGGAGGAAGAGGAGGAATGCAAGGAGAGAGCTAAGTAAGTCCACAGCTTGGCTGGAGTTCCTGCAAGTGATGGGAAACCTGCAAGGGATGGGAAACCTGCAAGGGATGGGAAAGGCAAGGGAGAACTCCTGCAGATACATCAGCAGCAAGAGGGAGCAAGGAGAATGCTGGCCCACTGCTGAACAGGGCAGGAGACCTCATAATGCAGGACAAGGGAACTACTGAGAGACTTGGTACCTTCCTTGCCTTCATCTTTGCTGGCAAAGTCTGCTCTCAGGCACCCCTGTCTCTCTTGCCTAGTACTTTCTCTTTTTCAAACTGCTTCTCATTAGTAAAAG